AATTGTATATTACCAAAATTTATTAACAGTTAAAACAGTATATTATTGAAAGAGGAACAGATAAAAAGCAATGGTGAAACAGGAAAGGAAGTGGGGGGGAAGGCCCAGAAAAAAACCTAGCCTATAAGACAAGCTAGTCTTTCATAACTCAGCAAGGAAAAGGCTGAATAATTCAACAAATGATGTTACAGTGATTGACAGCTGTTTCTAAAGGAAAAATTAAGATTAGGTTTTTGAAAAGAAAAAAAATGTTTGCAAGATAAAATACATAAAAATAAAAAATTCCCAAACTACCGGAAGAAAACATAAAATATAGAAGGTTTCCTTATTTTTTGTGCAAAATATAAAAGGTAGGTATTTGACCTTGCCAAAATTTGAAACTTTAGGGGCAAGGGTCAGGATGTGGTATGGAAAAATAAGGTACTACAGATCAAGAAAAAAAGTTAAACGATACAGGAGGGAAAATTATGAATTTAAAAAATTAACAGAGTATGTAGGCTGGCCAAGAAGCTCAGCAGATTAAGCCAGGGATTGGATCCCCGGGCCTGCAGTGCTGGCCCCACCCCCAGGGTGCACCAAGATGGCAATTGAGACTGGGCATGGTGGTGCATGCCTGTAATTCCAGCTCTTGGGAGGCTGTAAACAGGAGGATCACTACAAGTCCTATCTAGTAGTGAGACCCTGAACACCCTGTGGACCCGTCCCTAAAATACAAAAAAAGGATATGTGATGGCCAAAATATATTTTAAAATGATGCTTAACCTCACCAGTAACCAAAGAAAAATAAAGAAATTTGTTTAGCAGTCTGTCCGAAATTAGGTCTGACAATAGTGAATTTTGATGAGAATATGGGGAAAATATAATACTTTCATTCAGTGCTCGTGGGAGTTGGTCATAGCAGGCAATATCTGATATGTTTTTTAGTAATCCTTGTCTCCTTTGGTAGAGTCTTTTCCAATGCTGAATTGGTGCTGGCCTGAAAGGATAGAGTAGTATATAAGAGAAGTGAGGGCATGACCTGAAAGGATAGAGTAGTATATAAGAGAAGTGAGGGCATGAATAGAGGCTAAGTTATAAAAGGAATTGCACCTTTTTCCTTGTTCTCTTGCTACCTTTTAGGGGAAACCAATCATGCAGTCATTGGAGAGGCTCACACAGTGAGAAACCAAGGATCCTAGCCAAGAGCCAGCACCAGGGAACTGTACTAGTCATGTGACAAGTCACTTGGAAGAAGATATTCTGACTTCATCCAAGCCTTCAGATGATTGCAGCCTCAGTCAACCTCTAATGCCAGTTTCATGACTGATGCTGAGCCAGGATCATAGAGCTAAGCTGGTCCCAAATGCCTTACTCATAAAAACTATGAAAGATAATACATTACTATTGCTGCTTAAAATTTCCAAGTTTGGAATAATTTTGTTACTTGGAGCTAGTTAACTGAAGTATTGGTACAGCTTCATTGGAACACAAACTAACAACATTTAGCAAAACTTAGTGTTTATAACTTATAATAAACAATTGTATTCTGATCTATGCCCAGGGGAAATGGTAGAATATAATAAACGTTGATCATTAGTGAAATATACACACAAACACCTCCTAACACTTACTGAGCACTTAGTTTGTGCTAGTAACTAGTCCATGCAATTCATATTACAAAAGAAAGTTATGACTATTATTATCCCTATTTTACGAATTAGAAAGCTGAGGCAAAAGGGTTTAAGTCACTTTTTTAAGGTGTATATAGCTAAGAAGTAGTAGTGCAAGGCTTTGAAATAAAATGTGATATATTCTTCTTGTTTGTCTTGAGACAGGACCTGCTAAACAGTTTAGGCTGATTTTGAACTCACCAAGTAGCCCAGCATGGTTTTTAACTGATGGTGGTCCTCTTGCCTCAGCCTCCTGAGAGCTCAGATTACAAGTGTGTGCCAACATGCTTGACTTGATATATTCTTAAAATGGACTATTTTGCAACACTCAATATGATATCATTTAATTAAATAAAATACACAACATGTTATATAGACAAGTTAAAAATGGACTTTAAATTTAGGTTATAATTGCTTCTGGGGGTGTTATATGGAGACAGTTAAAGTGGATTTTAAATATAGTAAGAGGCTATTGTGGCTTACCTCATGATGCTATCATGGCTTTCCTTACAATAATCTGCCCTGCTTTCTCCAGGGTGTTCTTTTACTTCATCTCAGATTTCTCTCTCATGCTTCACTTTTGCTTTTCAAATAAATTTTGTCACTGTTTTTTGCTCATTTCACTCAATTCTTTTCATTTATTTGTTTAGTTGGTTAATTATTTTTATGTATTTGGTACTGGGTCTCACTACGCATCTCTGATTCATAGTGATCCTCCTGTTTTCAGCCTCCCCAGTGCTAGGATTCCAGGTGTGCACCGTGCCCGGTCTCCATGGCTGGCTCAGCACGCATGAGGTCGGGGTTCAGGGCCAGCGCTGGTGCGGCATGTGGTGCTGGGGATTGAACCCTGGTCCCTGCGCTCGCTTAAACAGGTGCTTAGTCCACTGAGCTATCTTGCCGGCTCTCAGTTCTTGTTCAGGATGAGAAACCTGGAATACAACTCCAGAAGGAGAGACGAGCAACCCAGAACCCTGTAACATTTATTTAGTGAGCCACTTTTATTTATTTATTTTTTAATGTATTTAGTACAGGGTCTACAGGGTCTCACTACACAGATTGAACTCAATAGTGATCCTCCTGTTTTCAGCATCCCAAGTGCTGGGATTACAGGTGCGTGCCACCACACTCAGTCTGAATCACTGTCTCAGGGGACTGGCAGAGCCTGCTGGGGATCAAACATCCACCCCTACCCCCCATTCATCCCTCCCCAACCCCTGGCCCCTGCATCTGCTTAAGCAGGTACTTTAATCCACTGAGCTGCTGAGCTATCTGGCTGGCCCTTGAAAGCCACTTTTAGAAGAAGTTAACCAATAACAGGATGGCCTAGACCCAACTTAGTCTGAGGCATGGAATCCCAGCACCATCTCTCAGGATCTATATGTAAGCCTTGAGATTTGGATGGCATAAAAAGATGCAGACACCATGAAGAGCTTGTTATCTTCTGACTTTTCTCACAATATCCCACCCTGTGTCCTCCAGGGTATACTTTTACTTGGCCCAAGGTCACTCTGAGGATCGTGTTTTCCCCTCACTCTTCACTTTTACTTTTCTTTTTAATTTCATTTTTTATTTATTTGTGTGTGTGTGTGTGTGTGTGTGTGTGTGTGTGTGGCCAGCTCAGCCCACCAGGGGGCGGGGCAGGCTGGCATGTGGTGCTGGGGGATTGAACTACGGTCCCTGTGCTTTGCTAAGCTTGTTCTAAGTAGGTGCTTTAGACCACTGAGCCATCTCACCAGCCCCTTCACTTTTACTTTTCAAATAAACTTTCTCACTGTTAAGAAAAAAAGGAAGCTAGGTTAATTCTGAATGGTGAGAGAGCTTGTGTATAAGTATGCTATTTTTTTGTATTTTTCTGTATTGTTCAATGTTCTCAAAATTTTAAAAATCTCTTTAAATCAATCTCAACTTCTAGTAAGCATTTGATTAAATCAGCGTAATATTCACTGACTTGAAGTAAAATATTCTTTGAACATCACCCATATGTAGGGATAGATTTTTACTTAGACATGGTTTCTGTCCTTACAAATTTTATTGTCTAGCCAGGGAGACAGTATTAAAAGAATGCTTGCCCCCAAAATAAACTCTGACAAGTTCTATGAAGGAAGAGAAAGAGTATCAGGAAAGTCTACAATTGTGTTACCATATTCAAGGGGAGTGGATATTGTTACTACATGGTAATATATTCATAGGTACAGATATGCACAAATATTTATTATCCACTACACTGAATAAGTACATTATTTTAATTATTTCTAATTCTTACAACAGTTCTATGAAGCATTGTTACTAGTTACTTTTACAAATGATTTAACTGAGTCATGATTAAACTTATACAAATGGAGAGAGTGATTCACATTCAATTCCAATTTAAAGCCTGTGTTTTTCAATTCATACTACAGCAAAACGAGACTACTTGACTCCAATCTGTCTCTAATCATTTACTCTCTTTATTCTCACTTTATACTATACTGTATAACTTTATTTTGAACAATGAACTTAGCTATAGGAACTCTTTTAATATGCATCTTGGAACATTTTAAAGTTGTAGTGATTAGTTTGTCAGCAAATTCTAAAACTTGAGCAAGAGACAATCATAACTCCATGTTGTTTATGAAGGGTTTAGTGATGAAGTTGTCATTCTTTAGCATCCACTAACATCCTGGTGGAGGATAAATCAGAGTGAAGGAAATGATCCCTTGTGTCATAGACTTTATCGTCAATTGGGCAGTCAAATAAAAATGTCTGTAACTTGTGTTTATATACAAGTGTAGAACACAGCCATGTAACAAAAGCTTTTGTGAATAATGATGGTTAAAGTAAGAGAAGGGAGCGAGAGAAAAAGAATCAAGATACAGCATGTACAGGTACAAATTCTCTATGATGAACGTGATCATAATGTATATCTAAAATGTAGCAATAAACTTATTTTTTTTTCAAAAATAGAAGATCTAATTTAGCTTGGAGGCAGGTCAAGAAATTTTACACACGACCACATACACACACACACACACACACACACACACACACGTTTGCTAGATTGCACGGTGCAAAATCCTTGAGAGTCCCAGCAGGGTGCCGAGATCTGAGCCCTCATTGTCCCGACGGGGCGGCTGAGACTTCAGCGGTTTCTAACCAAGGGTGAAGGGCGCCAACGTTATCGTACATTTTACCTGGGGAGTTAAGGGCACTCGAACTTCACCGCCACCCCCACCCCGTCTTCTCTCTCCGCTGCCAGCGTTTCTCCCAGACACTGCCCTCGGTTGTGACCTTCTCTGGTCGCATCAGTCTATGTAGGAACCTGGGTTGGAGTTTTCCTGTCCTTGCTCCTTCAAAGCTGACGACTTCACTGAGATGGCGCGCAGCCCGTTCCTCGCGTATTTCTCCGCGGCCCGGCGGCAGGTGGGCGGCGTAGCCCAGCGCCTGGCGCTCTCCGCCACGCTCCGCCGGGCCCCGGGCGCTAGCTCTGGGCGCGCGTCCTGGGTTATCAGCGCCCGGAGCGCGCCAGAGGCTCGCGCTCGCTCCCGAGCTTCCTCGCGCCCGCGGCGGCCTGCTCCGCGCGCGCGCGC